CTCAGCTGCTATGCGAATCGCTTCGTTGTGCATCGTTTTTGGTTTCTTTGGTTCGTATGGTGAGTTTAAGACTTTGCTAATTTACCTGTTCGCTTACCTTTTGCCTATGTATTTCCGTACGTTACAATGTGAAATGGCAAGCAGATCAATCAACCCAATGGCCCTAATCTAGAGTTGATCTCTTCACTGCCTCATTCGAAAATTCTATTTTTTGCCACAAAAATCTCCCGGAAACTTAGTTTTCAACAATTCCAATGAAACTAGGATGTTTCCAAATACCAACAGATCAAATTTAGAAAAGAACTTAGAGGAAACTTAACCGGAACGAGCACTTTTCAGGACAATATGCACCAATAATCGGTGAGCCGTCGAGCATCCCTCAGCGGGGTCAATGCCCCGGCGGTCCGTCGTTGCCGATCCAGTGTGATCCAAAACGTCCATGGCCTGCATGCCCACCACAGAGCTATTGCTATGCAACCAATTCGGTTGATGTTGGACCATATTTCTGCTGCCCAATCTGTAAGTTACAATACCTCTGAATAAGTTTTTCTTTTCCTCGAGCGATAAGCATTTGACATTCCACGAGAATGCAATCGAAATCGTCAGATTCGGTGAAATTTTGTGAAATATTCGAAGTTAACAAGTGATCTAGCTGGAAGCTTTGTCACAATCTTATTAACAGCTATCAGAAGCAAACTCCCGCAAGTCCCTTTCACCCTCAAAAATTCATTAATATTCATAAGATTTCGAGTTTCGACAGTATTCCATCTAATTGGTGAGGTCTCTTTGATTCAGCAACAAAAAATTGCATGTTTCACCAGAAATCGCCTGCTGTTCCACTGAATCAATAGACCACATCGATCACTTTCACCAAATGAGAATCCTATTTGTGCCATCAAAATTTCAATTCAAAATCCATTAACAAATTCTGCGGTTTGCTATTGACTTCTTCGAATCCTCTTAATAACAAATCTCAATTCAGGGTCCACTTATGGCTCTTTGTGGCGTCCATCAGCACCAAGCTATAACTACGTTCCACCGATGCCAACCAACTGGCCAAATTTGATTCGCTCAACTGCTAACTGGCCAGCTTCATCCTACGGATATCAGCAACAACCAGCACAAACCATGGCATCACCATATCAACAATACCAAACAGTCAAAGCTAAGGTGAGCAATTGCTTGAAAAATCAAAGAAATCCTTCTTCTTCCAGAAGAGTTATCCNTCTGTTCAAGAGTAATTTTATTTCTTGAGAGATAAGGTATGCTAGTTCGTTCACGAAGATTCACTTGCTTCGGTAACTGAGATACCTGTTTTTTTCGGATGAGTTATACGTTGAATTTAACTATTCATTTGCTGAATATACCTTTGCCTCATCATCGAATTACCTGTCCACGGAATTCATCAATTCTT